TATTGGTAAAAATTATGCTGATAACGATAAGAATGAAGAAATTCAAACAAGTTCAATTGAGTACGACTTCACTAGGCTTCTTAATCTTCAAAATAAGTTATATGAAGTCGGACTACGCGTCAATGCAACCATCAACGATGACACAAAAGGATAATAACATTAGGCTCTAGCAGAAGGAAAACACGATACTATACAAAAAAAAATATATATAAATGAATTCGAATATTCAATTTAATAATACAAACCCACTTAATGAACAATGAAAATAACAATAAAAACGACTTAATTACTGAAATTGAAAAGCGTATAGACATATTCAATACAGATATACATTATGCTTCAGTATATTTGCTTATTTTATAATCGTGTAAGTGCTTTTGTTAATATTGATTAAAAATAAATCTTTTTTCTAATGTCTTTATCAAGATTCAAGTAATTCCGAAAATATAATTGTTCTTCCAACTCAAACAGAACTACACTTCCCATTTACAGGTTAACAATAATGAATTCTTCAGAAGTCTCTTGAAAAAGCGGTGGAACACATATCATAAAAAGAATATATATACATCAGTAAATAGTAGATGAAGCATCATAAGAATATTTATTATATAAGCGTAAAGAAAAACCTTATACTTAATTATTAAAGAAAGAAGAAAATCAACGTTAAAGTGGTTGATGGTATTGATATACGTATTATCAGATCTTGTATTAAGATTTTTCTTTTCCATCATCACAAACCGTATATCCATCGTAAGCTGCGTGCGAGAGAAATTTCTGCTGGAAAAAATTTATATTGGAGAAATATTATTGAAGAATATGTAATTAAAATTTTTATATTTCAATTATATAACTTGATTTAGTAATTTGCAAAATCTTATAATACTACTATTGTTAGAGACGAGATATAATCAATAATCAAATCAAAAAAGACAAGATTCTATCAAATTCTTTCTGATCTGAATGAAAAATTACGTATAAAGAAGCAAATTTATCTGAACTTACAAATAAGTGGAATATAAAGAATTTGATGGATGTATTAGATCTTAATTCAGCTTCTAGAGAAAACTTTGCTAAAGGTATTGAAAATGGTTCCAACCTTCAAATGGATAGAATGGATAGTTGGTGATAGAAAAATAATTCATTTTAGATATTAAGTAACATGGCACAACGGTCGTATTTAGGAAATAAGCCGGCAAATTTGGTAACTCAAACGTTTAATGAACTGGAGAAGGAGAAAGACGAAAAAAGGGAAGCGGAATCCGCAAAAAGAATAGCGGAAGAAGAACGCGAACAATTCGCTTCACTTTGGGAGGTCGCCGGAAGAAATAAATAATTAAAATAATATATTAATTAACGTATATTTTACATATGTAATTATGCATGTAAAAATTATAGCATTCATATTATTTGACACTTATTTATTGAACTTATTGTTGTCGGTTTTGATTTATGGTTAGATCTGAGCAAATACTATAAGCAAAAAAGAATTTTTCTTTTTTTTTCGATCCATATCTGATGTAGTATTTTATGTTGGTCGGCTATTTTCCTGGCGTAGGTATATTCAGTACTACAGTTGTTCAACACTACATTTCAAAATAAATATCTGGTCTAAGAAATTAATTCATGTTTTAATGAAAAAATTACTTGCAAGATCTTTGATATATACTTTGCTTTATCCAAATCTTAAACCCTTAAACCGAATTCTAACGCTGACCATATTTTTTTTACGCATCATGTTTATTTTGTGATTAACTTATAAAATTTTATTTCAAAATTAATTAAGGATGGTATTTCAAGTATAGTGTTAGAACCTCAAAATCATCATGCTAACTAAAATTCGAACTTTATATAAAATCTCTATCTTGCACTCTAACAATAAATTTTCATTTACGGTGTAACGCCATCATAGGTAATGCACCCACAAAAATTGCGCCAATTAATTTTTTCCAATAACAAAGCCATATTGTAGAATTAGAGAATATTGGTAGGAT